GTGGTGGGAGGACTGTGGGTATGGGGGGACTGTTTGGGGGGGATGCTCAGGAGGGGTGGGTGCCCTGCCCCAAACAGGGCACAGCCCCCCCTGCAGGACCCATAGCTCCCCCCCTGCTGAGCCACAACCCCCCCTGTAGGGCCCCAGCTCCTCTCCATAGGGCCCACATGCCTCCCTCTGCATGTCTCAGCCCCCCCTCACAGTCCACAGCTCACACACAGCAGCAGTGACCATTGGAGCACTTGCAGCCTACTAGCACAGCCCCCTCGCACAGTTTGGGGCAGTGCATTTCAGTCCCAGCTGCCTGACACCCAGTGCTGCCTGTGCCAGATTGTGTGGGCCCAGCCCAGCTCGACACACTGCTGTGTGCCTTCAGGCAGCCCCAGGCCACTCAGGCTGTCACTTGGGGCCGCACACTGCTCGCAGGGACTGGGTGTCATGCCAGACCGGGTCCTGCTTCTGACAGCAGCGCTGCCAAACCTGCAGTGTGTGCATGGAGAAAGTGCGTGGTGGGGCCCAGCCTGGCATGGCCCACTAGCACACCCTTGCACAGGACTGAGAGGCACAGCTCCAGGACACGGCTCCTGTGCAAAGGAGCGCTAGCTGTGCGGCCCAGACTGAGTTGGGGTTGCCTGGCTGGGCATTGTCTTTCATGAGGCTGTGTGTCACTGCCTGAGCCTCGTGGAAAACACCCCCAGCTGGCCCAACCTGACTCGGCCTGGGCCACACAGCTAGCACTTCTTTGCACAGGAGCCATGCCTCCTAGAGTTGCACCTCCCAGTCCTGGCCTGGCCCACTAGCACACAGCTTTCCTGGTCCTGTCCAAAGCTATGCGCCAGCAGACCTGGCCAGGTCCTTTCAGTGTGTACAGAACCCCGGTCACACAGTACAGCATCACCACTGGCCGTGCCTGAAGTCAAGCCACAGTTGCGCTGGCTGCTGCCATTGGCCTCGTGGTGGGGGGAGGGGCAGGCATGTGGCAGCCCCCACTTGAGCCCCTCCACAAACCCACCCACAGACTGCACATTCCCCTGCCACTCTCCACATCCAACATCTCCCCTGCCACTCCTCACACCCCCTGACATCCCCCC